TTGGCCTACTCCCATGTGCATCGTGGGTCCCCCATGCTCCCACGTGGCACGGTTCCCTTCCGGAAACCCCCCTACCAAATTCGGCCACCATTCACGTGTGCCGTGGGTGCCCACCGAGCCCATGTATGGCCGGCCCCCTTGGCCTCCCCCATCCTCCCAAGGGCCGCCCACTCCAGACCCTTCACCCCCTTCCTTTGACCATTGCCCTTGCATGCCCTCTTCACTTTGGATCACTCCCTCTTCCCTAATTGGAAAATTAGGGTTAGGGTTAGGGTTTGGCACCGGTGATTTCCCTTTTTCCTTAGCATTTGATTGAACAACTTGGGCTTCTACCAATTTACGGATCATTTCTTCCATCCCTCCAAACCTCTCCTCTAGGGATGAAAATTTTCCCTCCATCGACGAAAGTTTCTCACCCACCTCCTCTTTCAATTGGCCCATCTCCCCCTCCAAGACTTCTACCTTCTTTGATGCCATGTCGTTTAGGATCAAGAGCTCTGATACCAAATTGATACGCCTTAGGTTTCACAAATTAGGGTTTGCCCTAATTTCCCCTCCAAAAAAGAGAAATTTCTCCACCAAAATCAAATGAGAAACAATCACAAGAGGGTTGAGATGAAAAGTAAGAACCTTTGCATTAGAAAGCCAAGAGAAAACAAGATAAGTTTGTCCACTTCGAGAAGGACAAGATCTCCCACAAGAAAACCCTAGAAAAGCACAAGAAAAAGACTAGAGGAAGAAAAACTAGAAAGAGAATACACTTTTTATAATCCCCCCAAAACTAAACCCTAATGGCTCCCTTCATACCCTTTCCAAAAGATCCTCCCATCCCCAAAATACCCCCACTTAAGTGGGTGGGTCCCCTTGGTCCAGCCGGTTCTCCGCCCCCCCTCTCTTCCACCTGTAGACCCGCACGGGTCCAGGCGGGACCGGTTCACCCGGTCCATCACATTCCACCTTCATAACATTATGAAAATGATTTTACTTGTGAGAATGAGATTATTAACAAGTGCCAACTTCGGATGCCAACCAAGCAGTTGAGTTTGGATGGATATCAAGTTTTCCTTAGTAAAATTGTTATGATTAAGCAGCCAACTTGTGATATCAAGAAATAAATCAGAGCAAGGCTTAAGTCATTTCTTTAGGACATTCAAACTAAAATAAATAGTAACTCCTAAATCCACCCTTCCTTCCTACCTGCTTACTACATTCCCATCACCCAAAACCCTCCATAAGCGCCAACAATTACTTTCTCATGAAGATTTTTAATTTTTTTTACCATTTTATCTGCCTCAGCTGCATCTCATGTTCTACATTGTTGCAACATAAGGTCAATTACATATCATGGTCTTGGTTGCAGCATCATAGGCTCAATTGACTTTAGATGTGGCCTTTGAGATCTTAGTTTTCTACATTGATTATGATGGGAACAATAAGGATGGATAGATGTACTTTGCTTTATTTCTGCCTTCTCCAAAGCTTTGTTTTTAATTCCGTTGTAAACTTCTGTCTACCTTTTTATAGTCAACAGAATACTGTTTTCTGGTGGTTTTCTTATTATTGGAATCAGTGCTTTCTGCATTATCACTGGTGATTTTTTTCACATTTCGTTCATCTTATACATCTCCAGGTTATACTTCCACCAGATGGATATTTAAAGGCCGTGAGGGATCTCTGTTCTAGTTACAACATTTTAATGATTGCTGATGAAATACAAACCGGCGTTGCCCGCACCGGAAAAATGCTTGCTTGCGACTGGGAAAACATTCGGCCTGATGTTGTGGTGAGTTCTTTGTATTTAAGGCTTCGTTTGGACAGCTTTCGTGTGGCTTTCTAAAATGAATTTTTAGTATAAAATTTTTTAATTCAAGAAATTTTTGTACTAGAAAGTTGTTTTAGAAAACAACAAAAAAAGCTGTCCCAAACGAAGCCTAATTTGATTTACTTTTTTATGGTAATAGTCATGGATGTTGATGTATGGATATGCAACTACTTTTCATTAAATACACCAACCCATCTTTTTCATGCTTGTATAATTTACATGCTCATCACCAAAAAGCATAACTAAAGATAGTGGCTTTTGTGTGTCATTTCTATTAGATAATTTGTGATCTAAGTTTTGCTTTTATCTGTTATAGATCTTAGGGAAGGCATTGGGTGCTGGAGTGGTACCTGTTAGTGCTGTTCTTTCTGACAAGGATGTCATGCTTTGCATCAGACCCGGAGAACATGGAAGGTGTGCTTCTTTCTCTTTATTTTTGATAACTTATTATTCTTCTTCCTTGGCGGACAATTTGTTATTGAAATGATTTGTAAATTTGAGATACTGTCAAAGAATTTCTTTAAAGTAAATATTTGTAAAACGAATTGTCGGTAAGATGAAAGTTATAGAAAGTTACATTCTTCTACTAAGTGTTTTAATCAGGATATATATATATATATATATATATTTGAGATAGTATATATTATGTATATTTGAGATAGTATTACATATATTGGTTAAATATTGGCAGCACATTTGGTGGAAATCCTTTATCAAGTGCTGTTGCAATCGCTGCATTGGAAGTTATTGTTGAAGAAGGGCTTATAGAAAGGTACTTGATTTATTTCATTAAATTTCTTTACTAAATATGCTCGTAATTTTATCTACCAAAAGAAGTTAATTACTTATCCATATAATTTGTTTTGGGGGTCTGCCGCAAGTTATTAACTTAAAATTTGAACCAGAACCTAATTAACTAGATCTTTTCAAATTATTTGGGAGAAGCCACATAAGTCAACTCGAAGCATAATTTTCAGCTTACATTTTATTTAGTATTTTAAATTCCCAAAAGTTAATTCATCTACCACTTTCTCGTAAGTTGAATGTATGGTTTCTTTGGACTTTGTTCTGTTTATCTTATGTTTTTTGTTATGTTACTTATTTTTTATCTTCGTATTCTTATAATTTTGTTTGCTTTTTCATGAATTATTTTACAATAATGAAAGGTTCATGCATCTAATATATATTCTGAGAACGGAGATCACATAAGGTCTGTTTAGAAACCCTTTAAACGATTCTTAATACTTGAAGCTTGAAATCGCACCTGTTAGGGTTTTAATGATTTTGGTTTACATGAATACAGTAACTTAAAATCAATAATACTATTCAAGTTTAACATCTTTGGCAGAAGGGTTGAGGTGGTTGTTCTATCTCTCTTCGTCATAGCATCTAATATAAGGGCTTGAATTAGACTCTTTCTTAAACTACTATTCCTTCTTACCTTTTATATCCTTTGTAACGCTGCCGTAGGAGCTCTCTTTAGTTGCCATCTTCTTCATGCGTGTCAATTTTTAGTAGTAATTTATTCCTTTATTTATATGGCCTTGCCCAACATAAAGAAGTTAAAGCAAAGGATTCATCATGCAAATATATTTGGGTGCATGATATATATCAACTCTCCAATTCATTTCTCTTTTGACTCTCGATAAGTATGTTTTTGATCCCATAATAAATTGTTGCATTGTAGCCCGATGCTTGATGCTCTGCACTCCTAGATATTCTTTCAACTAAAATGGATATTATTCTACTTGAAGTTGGAAGCATTCTCCATTTCTAGAATTTTATTTTCTCAAAGAAGGGGCCCCTCAATCGCAATTATGGCATGAAAATGTCTATTCTGCTCAAATATTTCTAGTTTCACACAGGATAAGGGGAACCTCAACTCCATAGAAAATATTAAAGTGGTGTGGCCTAGGATTTGACTTTTAATAGTGGTTCAATTGGAGTTTGTGAGGCTTGTAAAAAGTGCTAGAAATGTTGTAGATGTCTTGGTGCAAATGGAGAAGTTGGATTGCAAGGATCAATGCAATAGGGGGCCTAAAGCATATGACAAGCCAAAACTGAGGGCATGCTATTGGGGTTTAAGCTTTTGGTTGTGGTATAATTAGGGAACACCATGCCTTGAAAACTCTTGGATTATTTAGAGGAAATTATGTACTAACATTTTGGAGCATTTCATAAAATTTCAAGAGTTTACAAAGGTTTAATGGGGGGTTTGAAAAAGACTAGGTCATGTGAAGGATCCTTTGAACGAGAGCTTCCTATGGGAATTTAGTGTGAATTTAGGTTGGATTGGGTTAAGGAATTTATATGGGAGTGTATAATTCTATTGCAAGAGATTGAAGGACTTATGGAGATTTTATGAACTTTAGCATTCATCAAAGTAGCAAGATTTGAAGAAATTATCAAACTCCTTCAATGTTGACGTCGGCGAACAAGCCTCCTTTTCAAAATAAAATTCAAATTTATGTCTAAATCATCATCAATCCCTTTGTCATTCTAGGAGATAAGTATTAATTAGGACAAAGAGTGAGGGACTAAGGGGGGTCGGCTAAACATGTGACTATGGAGGAGTTGATTAGTCCAAGTATAATTACCCCTCCAAATGAGTGGTTGGTTGGCCATGATGAGGTGGAAATGGATTATTTAATTAAGCTTAATTCAAATAATCAATTCCCTATTGAATGAAATAACATTCCCTCTATATTTGAAAATTCAAAATTTTGAATTTAAAAAATTTCAAATTCAAATTTTCAAAATTTGAGAATATCCCCAAAATTGAAAATTATACTACATAGTCTTACATGGTAATTATAAAACACATAAATTACAAATTCTAATTAAATGTCTTCAATTTGCTCATTGTCATGATTCATTACCTAGCATTAGCTTCTTTCTTGCACTGGACACTTGTGGTTGGTCCAGTGCTTCCTCCTTGAGCTCCCTGTGCCAAATTATGAAGCAACAATGGCAACACTTCAACTTAGGCCTCTTATTCGGCCCAGTTGCATAAAATCAGTATCAGCTATCATTAGTCCTATTTTGTTGTCATGATAGCCCCAGTCTCAAGAGAGAAGGAATTGAATCACTTATGGAGTCTTACTTCATATAATGAGGACTGGTAGAACCTGATCTCCAATGGAACGAGTGAATGCAAGGGCGTTAGGTAGAGAAGGAATTGAATTACTTTTGGAGTCTTACATAATTAGGTAGAGAACGAGCTTATTGTGTATCTTGCTTCATTCATCTCTCAACCCTAAGAGGCAAATGCGAAATAATTGGGATTTAAATTGATTTGTTAATACGTTTAGTTAAACAAACATGAACAGCTTTTCAGGTGCTGCTATGAAAGGAGAAGTTAAAGATATTAAAAAAAAATCTTCTGTACTAGCCACTTCGTTTTGCTCTTTTCTTTTTGCATTATATCTACCGCCAATAACTTTTCGATTAGTTTTGATTCCTTTGTAAAATATCTGAGGTCATTCTGATCTTTTATGATTATCTTTTCCTTTTTAGCAACAAAGGCAAGACCTGTATTGCACTGCTAGCAGAATCTTCTTCAGAACTTCGCAAAATTATAACTTTAGATTGACTAATGTCCCCATAACATTTCTGTAGTCTGTCTACTACCAACCTTTATTTTCTTTTTTTTTTCCCCATTTTCTAATCAATAAGAAAGAACTTTGGATTTAAGATGGTGGTGAGACCTCCAATGCTTTATGGTGTTGAATGTTGGGCATTAAAAGAGAGGCATAATACTAAGTTAAGTGTTGCAGAGATGAGGATGCTTAGGTGGATGAGTGGCTTTAGAGATAGGATACGAAATGAGCATATAAGTGAAAAGGTTGGAGTAGCTCCAGTGGAAGATAAGATTAGAAAGAGTCGCCTTAGATGGTTTGGTCACATAAAATGGCGGTCTCCCGATGAACCGATTAAGAAAATAGAGGTATTAGATTTGACTTATATTAAGAAAGATAGAGGTAGACCTAAAAAGACTTGGTTATAAAATATTAGAAATGATCTTTCTTTATTAGAATTAAACGAGAATTTGACTTTTAACAGTACACAATGGAGAAAAAGGATTCATGTAGCCGATTCCACGTAGTGGGACAAAGGCTTGATGTTGTTGTAAGAAAGAACTTTGGATTCATTCCTATTTAACTTTTATTAACTGTAGCTAAATAACAATTTTTTCTCTCTTTTCAGGGCTGCTGCTCTGGGTTACGAATTTAGGAGTCAGTTAGTGAAGGTTCAGCAGCAATTTCCCCAAATTATAAATGAAGTTCGAGGGAGAGGCCTACTCAATGCAGTAGACCTTACGAGCGAAGCCCTTTCTCCAGTATCTGCTTATGACTTATGCCTTAAACTGAAGGAAAGAGGCATCCTTGCCAAGCCTACGCATGACACAATAATTCGTCTCGCTCCTCCACTCTGTATAAGGTGAGCATACACTGATCGTTGAACTTATGATTTATTTTCATTTAATAGTTTCAGGCTTCGTTTGGGACAGCTTTCTTACAGCTTCTTAAAATAGTTGAAGTTGCTTTAATAAGCAGTAAAAAAGCTCTCCCAACGAAGCCTTAACTTTCAACGTATGATATCCTGCTAGTCTAAATTTTAAGGTTTGTTTGATTAACTGAATTAATTTTTTTCAGTAGGACGCTAAAATCCAAGTTGGTTTTGGGTATTATAAGTGAAAACGTGGTTACTATTGAAGAATATATGAATTTATTGCGTTTCTTTTGTTGTGCCATTCTTTTGTGCAGAAAAAATGATGGAAATTATGCGTTTTTCTTGTTAAAAATAAAGTCATTTTGTTTTGGGATTTTTCTGTATTGGGGTTTAACTTTAAATATGACACAATGCAGAAAAAATATTTATGTAGCCGACTTCATATAGTGGTGGGATAAAGGTTTGTTGTTGTTGGGGGTTAACTTTAAAATGGTCCAGACTATTTGTATATGATCAATTTAATCCCATAGTATGAGGTTGCTCCAATTTAATCGCTCACCATATAAAATTGATCCAAAATTAGTCCTTTGAAATTAAATTAGGATCAATTTTGTATAGTCTACATACTAAGGGTTCGATTAGGATGACTGTAATTTTTGTAAAAGTGATTATAAAACAGTTATGAGGAAATTAACTTTTAAAAAAGCTGCTGTAAAATACAGCTTTCTAGTTTAGAAATGTTTTAAATACAGTGAAAAAACAATAACCAAATAGAAATTATAGTTACAATTTGAAAAGTAAAGCAGTAAGAGAATTGTATTAATCAAAGCCTAAATTTAAATCAATTTTATGTCACAATTACACCATTAGGGACTATTTTGGATCAATTTTGTATAGTCAAAAGAATAAATTAGAGCAATGTGATATTTTGAGATTAAATTAGCCATATATGATTATGTTAAAAATTTTAGGATTTTCCTGTATAGCTAAATTATAGTGTTTTTTGGTGGATTTTCCATGTCTTGTTATCATGCAATTGTGTGGTAATTCCTATGCGAAACAAAATAAAATTAATTTTATTTTAGGACCAATTTTTTTTTTTCTTTCTGGTAGCATGCTTGATGCGGTCTACATATGCGGGTGACTTATACAGAATATTTGGTTTTATCTCCACTACTACCTTTAGCTAACTGTTTTTCTATTTCTGCTTATAGACACTTTTTCCTTCCTTAGTTTTTGCTACTCCAGTTGTAGTATGAAGGATAGACACTGCATCCTCATATATGCTTTTCTGTTTTACGAAATGGGTAGAGAAGAAGATAGAAACTCCTTAGACAATCTCCTATGTTTTCCTTTTCTTTTCTGCTTCTTGTGGTTTTTCTCCTGTGCAGGTGGTTGCTACATCACAATGGTATCAGAGCCAACCTGGGAGATGGCTGACGGAAGTTCCAGCAAGGCGGCCGACGATGAACGGAGCTTGGACGCGGTGTGGGCTGCTCAGGCTAGCATCACACAACATTTGGAAGAACTGAGAACCGTGTTTCTCCTCCTCTCCGTAGAGATGAGGACGGAGTTTGCAACTCTCAGAACTATGGTAGATCCAATAGTAAGCGGCCGTGCGCAGGTTCAGGCACCTCCGCACATTCCGAATCCGGGCTTATTGGGGCGACGTCCGCAAGCTGTAGCCGCAGATTTCTCAGATTCGGAAGGAGAAGTCAATGCAGAGTTCCCGCCGGATGCGTCCGAATCCGATGAGGAGCGCCGCTATCGCTATCATGGCGGCCATAGACGGTTTGCAAGAAACCCACGACGAGACCAGGGAGATTTTAAGGTGAAGATGGATATTCCCTTTTTCGACGGTCGTCTTCATATCGAGGAATATCTTGATTGGGAAAGAGCAGTAGAAACCTTCTTTGAGTATATGAAAATTCATCCAGAGAAGCAAGTAAAGTAAGTGGCGTGTTGGTTGAAGGGCGGAGCAGGTGCGTGGTGGCAACAGCTGTTGCAAAGCCGGAGGCACGAGGGGGCGCGGCCCAGTTCGCAGTTGGTTCCGGATGAAACAATTAATGCGAGGACACTTCTTGCCCACCGACTATGAACATATGCTATATCTCAAATACCAACATTGTGTTCAAGGACCGCGGACGGTGAACGAGTACACAGAAGAATTTTTCCGCCTCAGTGCTCGCAACAATCTGCAGGAGACAGACAACCAATTAGTGGCCAGATATATTGGAGGGCTAAAAGATCAAATTCAGTGGCCAGATATATTGGAGGGCTAAAAGATCAAATTCAGGACAAGTTAGAACTGAATTTTGTTTGGTCTCTGTCGCAGGCCGTCAATTTTGCATTGAAGGCCGAATCTCAGATGCAGCGACACTCTCGCAATTACTCCAACCGGCGACAATCTGTTCCTGAGGCGAATTCAGAATCGGTCAAACCTGCCATTCCACCGGCCAGATCAGGTTCATCAACTGCACCTATCAATAATAACCCTCCATCGGATGCTAGACTCCCAGCTAGAGCCAAAGTTCCTTTAAAGGAGAATCCATACAACAGACCGTCGACGTTGAAATGCTTCAGGTGTTTCCAACCTGGGCACAAATCCAACGAGTGCCCAAATCGACAACAGCTTCGGATGCTTGACGGAGATCATCCAGAGGAAGGCGGCGGCAACGAAGGCCATCCAGGTGATGAGGAGGATGCTGAAGACCTCCGGGGAGATGAGGGCGATCCTGTTATTTGTGTCCTGGAAAAACTTTTACTGGCTCTAAGACAGCCTACACAGTCCCAACGCAATGCGTTATTTCGGACTCGATGCACCATCAACGGGAAAGTTTGCGAATTAGTGATTGATAGTGGGTGTACGGAGAACGTGATTTCAAGATCTGTGGTGCAAGCCCTACAGTTAAAAACTACAAAAAAAATCACAGCCATATAAGATTAGCTGGGTTAAGAGAGGAATTGATATCACTGTTGCCGAAATATGCTATGTAACCTTCTCCATAGGAAGGCATTATGTTTGTGAGATTAACTGTGATGTCCTTGAAATGGACGTCTGTCACATCATTTTGGGCAGACCCTGGCAATTCGATGCCAGTGCTACATATGACTGTCGCGTCAACATATACTCCTTTGACTGGAAGGGAAAGAAATTACGCCTGTTGCCGCATTCGCAGGATGCAATTGGAAAAAATGAGAAGGGCCAAGCTACTGCTTATCTCGTATCTGGACAAATTCTATTACAGTCAGCAGGGGAAGGAGTTTCTTTATTAGCTCTGGTAGCATGGGACGGCAATACCCAAGGGGGTAAACCACAGGTCCCAGAGGCCATTCAATCTTTGTTGACAGAATTTGCGGATGTTACTCCGACTGAATTACCGTCCCAACTCCCACCGCTCCGGGATATTCAACATCAGATAGATCTCATTCCGGGAGCTACATTACCCAACCTACCCCACTATCGAATGAGCCCCAAAGAAAACATGATCCTGCAGGGCATCGTGGAAGATCTTCTCCGGCGTCAATTGATCCAGCACAGCTTAAGCCCATGTGCCGTGCCGGCCCTCCTTGTTCCAAAAAAAGATGGCCAGTGGAGAATGTGCATAGACAGTCGGGCCATCAACAAAATCACCATCAAATACAGGTTCCTAGTCCCCAGGATCTCGGACCTACTGGATAAACTACACGGTGCGGCTATCTTCTCAAAATTGGACCTCCGCAGCGGATACCACCAGGTTTGCATTCGACCCGGTGAAGAATGGAAGACGGCATTCAAGACTTGTGAGGGACTCTACGAATGGCGGGTGATGCCCTTCGGGTTGTGCAACGCTCCCTCCACTTTCATGCGGCTAATGACCGAAGTGCTTAAACCCTTTTCGGGGAAATTCTGCATCTCGTATTTTGATGATATTTTAGTTTATAGCACTTCGTTTGATGAGCATGTACAGCACCTCGCGCAGCTTTTACAAGTTCTGCGCAATCACAAATTGTATGTGAATATGTCCAAGTGCGAGTTTGCTAGTTCTTCTATTCAATTCCTGGGTTTTGTGATTTCCCGAGAGGGAGTTCAAGCGGACTCCAGAAAAGTTTTGGCCATCAGGGACTGGCCGACTCCCCGCTCTATGACAGACATACGGAGCTTCCATGGGTTGGCGAACTTCTATCGAAGATTTATTCGTGGATTCAGCAGTATCATGGCTCCCATAACCGAAGTGCTGAAGGGGACTAGCTTCTCATGGAACGCTAGCCAACAAGATAGTTTCGAAGCCATTAAAACCGCTCTTTGCAACGCTCCAATTTTAGCTCCACCGAATTTTGATAAGCCGTTTCAAGTTGACACTGATGCATCCGCGGTAGGCATTGGAGCGGTATTGTATCAAGAGGATCGACCCATAGAGTATTTCAGCGAAAAACTTAGCTCTCCTCGGCAGAAATGGACGGTATATGAACAGGAACTTTATGCCGTTGTAAGGGCCTTGAAGCAATGGGAGCATTACCTTCTTCACCAGGGCTTCGTGTTGTGTAGTGATCATTAATCCCTTCAGTACCTGAACAGTCAAAAGACCGTTAGCAAGATGCATGCTCGGTGGATAGTTTATCTACAACGGTTCAATTTTGTAGTTCGCCATAAATCTGGAAAAATGAACCGTGTCGCAGACGCCCTCAGTCGTCGTGCCGCCCTCATCACGCAACTACAGACAGAAGTGACGGGATTGCAGGAGATGAAGCTCCTGTATGATGGCGATCCAGATTTTGTGGCTCCTTGGAACGACTTGTAATATCAGTTTTGCTCCAGGTTCGTCCGGGACGAATTTGGATCGTCCGGGACGATCGGTACAGGTTGTTCAAGGAAAACTGTTCTATCTGTATGGTTCGTCTGGACAAAATGTTGAATCTTTTGTACTTTTTGATTTTTGTACAGTCATGGCTCTTTCTGCTTTATTTTTCTGTCAGCCATGTACTGTATTTGTAGATGATTGTTTTGA